TCCTCTCCTAGTTATGTTCTTCTTCCTTCATCCCTTGTCAGTATGGATTACTCTTCCCTGTCGCACCCCGAGACGTGTCGGTAGGGCGGACCGGGCGTTTCGCTTGATATTTGCTCACGATGTATGCTCCTTGAGCTTACATGTTGCATCCGCTTCACGGATGGAGGGCGGGCCGTTTTCAAAATGCGGTTCTCGCCTCAGCGCCGCGCACATTCGATTTCAAGACTTGCAAGAGCTTCACAGATGGAGGGCGGTACCTCTTCAACATGTGGCTCGCGCCTTAGCCGTGCGCGCATTCGTCTGAAGAGTTGGCAGCCGTTTCGAGGATTTTGAGGGTAAATATTCCCAACATGGCGCTTTGGTGTGATGTAGGGACTGTCATGACGCAGCCATCATGTTAATTCGCGGCGTTTGCTCTGGCACGATTGAGGATCTCCAGGACGCAGCAGTAACGTTGGTTCGCGGCGTTGAAGTCCCAGGAATGGTGTTCTGGCATGGTTCAGGATTTCCAAACGGTTGTCCTCCAATAGGGGCACTTCCTTCAGTGAGAATGAACTCTTGTGGAGACCGGTGAAGAGGCGTCTTGGATGGAGGGTATATCGCAAAGTCGTTGATGAGCCTTAGGTTTACACTGGTCCTCTTCCTCCTCCTCCTCCTCCTCCTCCTCTTCCTCCTCCTCTTCCTCCTCCTCCTCCTCCTCGTCCTCCTCCTCCTCCTTCCCCTCCTCGCTCATCCCCCCCACCCCCTCCTCCTCACGCTTCCCACCCCCCTCCATGGTCACCCTCCTCCACCTCCTCGTCATCCTCCTTGTCCTCCTCGTCCTCCTCGTCCTCCTCTTCCTCCTCCTCCTCCTCCTCCTCCTCCTCCTCCTCCTCCTCCTCTCCCTCCCCCATCCACCTCCCCCTCCTTTTCCTCTTCATCCTCCCCTCCTCCTCCTCCTCCTCCTCCTCCTCCTCCTCCTCCTCCTCCCCCTCCTTTTCCTCCTCCTCCTCCTCCTTTTCCTTTTCCTCCTCCTCCTCATGTCCTCTTTCCCCTCTCTTCCTCCCCTACTCTCCTACTCCCCTTCCGCCTCCTTTGCCTTTCCCTCTTTCTCCTCTTCCCTCCTCCCGACTCCACTTGTCCTCGCTTTTTCTCCTCCCACATTACTTTCCTCCTCCTGCTGCTCCTCCTTCTCCTCCTCCTCCTCCTCATGTTCCACCTTCTCGTTCTCCTCCGCCTCCTCCTCCTCGTCCTAGTCCTCCCCCTCCTCCTCTTCCTTCTCCTCCTCCTCCTCCTCTTCTTCTTCATCTTCATCATGATATTTATATTCCTATTCATCATCATCATCATCATCATCATCATCATCACCACCATCATCATCACCATCATCAGCATCAGCATCAGCATCAGTATCATCACCACCATCACCATCACCATCGCCATCGCTATCACCAGAACCAGCACCAGCACCACACCATCACCATCACAATCACCATCACACTCCTCAGTTCCCTCTTCCTCCTCCTCCTCCTCTTCCTCCTCCTCCTCCTCCTCCTCCTCCTCCTCCTCCTCCTCCTCCTCCCCCTCCCCGTGTCGACGCCGTTCGATACTGGTTTCGGGGCACTGCTCAGTGGATACACGGGGTGCCACCAAGAGTGACCATAACCCATAACTGGGAGAGCACCCCCGAGCAGCCCCCCCAACCAAATGAGCGGCTGGGCGACTGGCTCAGGGCCCTCCCCGCGTGCAGCTGGGATCCGCCCAGCCGACACAGGCAGGCAGTCGTGCTGTGGCGAGTCGAAGATTCGCCCTCGCGGACAGGTCATGCATAGCCCTCCCAGGGGGAGGTAGACACCAGCCTTTTGCCACAGCCAGAGGGCAGTCATCGGGACACGCAGGCAGCCCTCACACGCAGCCGGGGACAGAGGGGAGAGCGTCCCCCCCGTCTACCGTTCCAGGAGGTAGAGACCTCCAGGACACATCCCGTCGGCAATGCCAGCGGTCCTGCACATATGCCACACATTGCTGACCTCCACGACACAGCCTGGCGCAAATGCCTGCGGCCCCGTTACATTCGACACGTGGACGCGAGGGGTACACACCTCGAGGGCACAGCCCGGCGGCAGTGCCTGCATTCCCCAGTTGCGAAGCGTCGGCCTCCAGGGCACAGCCCAGCGGCAATGCCGGCGGTCCTGCACACACTCCGCACATGCACACCAGAGGTGCTGGCCTCCATGACGGAGCCTGGCGGCAAGGCTGGCTGTCCTGCGCGCAAACACACACACACACACACACACACACACGCGCACGCACGCACGCACGCGCACGCACGCACGCACGCACGCACGCACACACACACACCATTTGCGAGGCACTGGCCTCCATGACACAGCTTGGCAGTAATGCTGGCGGTCCCATGCAATCGATACTCGGGGACTGAAAGACATCGTCCCCAAGGTTTCATGTACCACCGATCCTGAAGGCAGGACCTCCCCCAGAACCCTGGCGACCACCCTGGGACCCCGGGACTCGCCAGGACCCCAGGTGGGTGGGATTCTGACCCAGACCCCCCCCCCACCGACCCCACTACCCCCACACTTCCCCCCATTTCACCCCCGCCCCCCCACCACCCCCCGTCAGAGAGGGAAAAAAGGAGAGGGAGTCGATTTAACTACGACGTATTTTTCCTTGTTGCTCAATTTCCTTGGGACTGGCGCCGCCGCCGCCGCCACCGACGGCGGCGACGACGACGACGACGAGGACAAGGAGGGCAAAGCCTCTCGCACACGCCGAAGGGTCGGCGGATTTGAGGCCGTGGCCCGAGACACATGTTCACTAGAGGTTTTGACCTCCGCCACACAGCCCGACGACAATGCGGGTGATATTGACCTCTACCAAACCGTCCGACGAGCTGGCGGATGCCAGGGCGCACGCGCTGCGACTGGAGGAACCCGCCAAGCAGGTCAAGGCGGACGCCCTTCGCCGGGAGGGCGCCTCAGACGGCCGCGTCGAGGAAGGGGCCCCGCCAGACGAGGCGTCTGTCCCGAAGGATGGCAGGGGGGCCCTCTCGTGGGTTTGGCTGGAGGCCAGGCCTCGTTTGGCCGAGGGTGGAGGCAGTCAACGGCGGGAAGGGTAAAGAAAAGCGAGATCCGCCTTGGCCCAGTTTCCCCTGCGTCGAAGGTGAATTTGGAGGGCGGCCAGTACAGCTCCCAGAGCTGAACGCCATCGGTCTCGGCTTGGGCGCGGAGTCTGGCGGCGCCAGAAACGGCGCCGAGCCACTCGGAGGCCCCAGGCCACTGTGTCGCGCACAGCCAGGGCCCCGCGGCTTGCGGCGGAGTCTGCTGCGGGCTGCGTGGCGAAATGGTGGTCCATGCGCCAGACGTGGAGCACGCTCTCCCTGGACGTGGTCGGTGCACTCGGGGAGGGGGGCCGCGCGCTGGACGAACCCCAAGGAATGCGAGCAGGCCCCTCGCCTTGCCACGGGGTCCGCCTGGCGGAGCCGCCGCTCGGCAGCGCCAGCGTACCCTGGGAGGTCCCACAGGTGTCGCTGAGGCGGCGGGGGCGTCCTGGGCGCTGTGGAGCTGCGGCGCTGGTGCCGGATGGTGCCGGGATGGCGTGGACGTCCTCGCGGCGACCGCTGTGGCGGGGCGAACGAATCGCAGCTCGCTGGGCAGGCCAGAGGCTTCAGTCCGAGAAGTAGTGGGTCCCTGGCCCCAGATGTTTGCCAAATTCATCGGGGGTGCTGTTGGTATATAAAGCGCCCCAGGACGCAAAACTGGCCTGGGAGAGCGACGGGGCGGATCTGGCGCTTGGGGTGCCCAGCGCCGTCGCCCTGCCCCACCCAGCCTCGGCCCGCGCCGGCCCTCCCCACCCGCCCCTCTTTCCCCCCGCCCTGCGCCCCCCCCCCCCCCGTCCCACTCGTCCCCTTCCCCTGCCCTCCCTCCCTCCCGCCGCCATCGCCCCGCCCACGCGGGCCCGTCTCGCCCCGCCCTTGCCGGCCTCTCCCCCGTCCCTGGGGGTGGAGATCCGCCCTGCTGTGGTGCAGACCCCCCCTGTCACTCCTGGGGTGGCGATATGTGGCGATCCGCCCTGCTGGGCGGGTCCTTCTGCCACCCTTGTGGCAGGCGACCAGTCCTGCCGTGAAGCAGGTCCCCTTGTCGCCCTTAAGGTGGCGATGAGTCTGGTTGTCGCGCTGGTCGCCCTTGTCCCCCCTGGTGGCGATCGTTCTGCTGTAGCACTGGCCGCCGCAGATAACCCCTGGTCCCCAGGGTGGCGATCCACGTGCGAGGCCCCGGCCTCCAGGACACGGCCCAGCAACAATGCCAGCGGTCCTATATACGCCCCACACGCGCATACCGAGCACAGCCCTGAGAAAATGCCGGCGGCCTGGTATCCAATCCAGACGTGCACGCGAGAGGCGCTGACCTCCAGGGCACATCCCGGGGGCAAGGCCGGCGGTACTGCGTACACCCCACGCGCGGACCAGAAACATGGGGTTCCTTCCGTGTACCATTCTCGCACCCTTCCTTGACGCTTCGCCCTCATTTCCTGTAGGTTTGCTTGCTAGTGATTTACTGCCTGCCCTCCATCGCGCCGCACATATGAGACTCCGAATGTCTTCCTGCATGGCGTTTCGTTTAACAGAGGTGGCTGTCTAAGGGTATGCAGGCTGCACGTACCATCCACCAATACCGGGTGCCAACAATGGTCCCTGGAGCATGTTCTGGGACCAGAAGGTTTATCCTCCCAACCTTCACGAGCTTCGCCTTCAAGGACATGAGGGCCTATGTGCCCCACACGACTGAATAGGGTCACGCCTACCCTCAAGGGCATCAGCAATACACTACAGTTTTCCTCTTCCTCTCCCCGTCCTCTCCCCGTCCTCCTCCTCCCCTCCCCCCCTCCTTCCCCGCCCTGGTCCAGTGGTTCCCCTCCTCCCCCTCCCCCCGTCTGTCTCCTCTCTCCTCCCCCTCTCTGCCTGGAGGTGCATGGCCGGCAGCTTGGCCCGCTTCTCGCAGTGAGGCCGCCTGTGCAGGCACCCTGCGCGCCTCCCTGGGCCCTTCGTCACAGAAGTTATTCCTTCAAAGAAAGCTAGCAGGAAAGGCAGATCGAGAAGCCCGCTGCCAAACAGCAAAAGCTGTTCGTCACGGCAGACATCGAAGCGGGTATTTTCCTCACGCTATGTTTTAACGACTCGATTCGGTTCCCCGATGTTCAGTCGACGAAGAACAGAGAGTCCTTGCTTTTCGCCGAAGACCAATCAACGGCATGAACACAAACTTTCGAATGTCCGCATGGATTTTCTTGGTCGTCGATGGACGGGCGGAAGAGGGCATCACGCCGATCCAGGAAATTCGCGCAAACCTCCAGCAGCTTATATTTATGCCTTTTCTCTGCCTTCTCACATCTGCGATCTCCCATCCTCTCGGAGGCTGACCAGCGAGCGCCTTTCGGAGAATTGCACAATTCGCCCTTTCTGCCCAGCAGCGGCGGCTTTCGCTGCGCGCCGGGCACATCCGGCATTCTGTGCCCCAGAAGGCATGATGAGGATGGTGGTGGTGCCGATGATCATGAGGATGTGGACGGCGATGGTAATGACAATTTGTGTTGATGATGGTCTTGAAACGACGAAGATGATGTTGATGAAGGGCGATGGTGATGGTGGTGTTGGCGACGAACGTGTCGATTGCTGATGTTGATGCTCATGATGGCGACCTAGCAGTTGGCAGCTCCGGTTCCGCGCCGACACTCCCCCCTCCCCTCGGGCCCAGAAGCGGCTAGGAGCGGCGGGGTAGGACCCATCGCGGCGCTGGGCTGCCGTTCTGGTATTGTAACACACGTAGCATCGGCGGCGCAATCCCTCCAGACCCTTGGCGACTCGAACGGAATGGCGCCAGATCGTGTTCTCAACCTTCCCATGAATTGAATGAAGCATTGCTTGCGTCGTGACGTCCTCCTCTTGTCTTCCCCTGTCTGTTCCCTCTCTCCTCCTCCTGCCTCGTGTGTTCTGCCTGCCTTCGAGCTCCCCTGGGAGGCTGCCAACTGCGCGACTGCCGGTATTTTCGCGGGCCTCTCGGAGATCCAGTTGGGCTACGTCTTACGCGCATCTAGAAGGGACCCAACGCTCTCCTGGTGGGCTACCATCTGCGCAACCGTCGACCCTTTTCTTGGGCTCCAGGGAGGTCCAGCGGAGCGACGTCTCACGCGCATCCATACGGGACCTCGCGCTTCCTTCTGGGCGCTCCCAATTGCGCAACAGTCGCCAGTTCCGTGGGCTTTGAGAAGGTCCAGCGCAGCGACGCCTGACGCCCATGCAGACGGGATCTCGATCCGCATTCGGGATCTCTCGTAGGCTCCTGGGGGGTCCAGCGGAGCTACGTCTCACGCGCATCCAGACGGGACCTCGCGCACCCCTGGACCTCGCGCCTGCCTGGGGTGCTCCGAACTGCGCAGCTGCCGCCACTTCCGCGGGCCCCTGGGAGTTTAGCTGAGCGACGTTTCCGCGCATCCAGATCGGATCTCGAGCTGCCTTGGGGAGCTGGAATTTGCCCAAGTGTCGACACTTTCGTGGGCTTCTGGGAGGTCCAGCGGAGCTACGCCTTACGCGTATCCATCGGAGACTTCGCGCTCGTCTTGGGGCTGCAGTCTGCGCAACTGTGACCACTGTGGTGGGCTCCAGGGAGGTCCAGCGGAGAGAACTCTTATGCGCATCCAGACGGAGCCTTGCTCTCCACGGGGGCTTGCTAGCTGCGCAGAGGTTGCCACTTTCGTGGGGCACCGGGAGGTGTCAAGGAAGAAGGCGTCACGCGCGCCTTCATCCAGAGGGGTCGGGGGCGGCAAAGAGGGGGGTGATGACTAGGGGGGGGGATATCATGGCGGGGGCCATGATATTTCCCAGATTTCATGGCGCCCTCGTCTTGTTTCATTACATACGTCACTGACCCCCCCGCTGGGCTTCGCACATGCCGCTGGTCATGATTTGCACCCCCCCCTCTTGGACACCCCCCTCTTGGCCGCTCCCGAAGGGGGGGGGCCTCCATTGTTTGCTCCAGGGAGGTCGAGCGGAGCGACATCTTCAGCGCATCGAGCCGGGGCTCTCGCGCATTGCCCCTTGGGCTTCTGGGAGGTCCAGAGGAACAGCCACGTACTATTCGCATCCAGGAGGAGGAGGAGGAGGAGGAGGAGGAGGAGGAGGAGGAGGAGGAGCCGACTTCGCAAGAGTCGCCACGTTCGTGGGCTCCTGGGAGGTCCAGCGGATCGATGTCTTGCGCGCATCCAGCCGAGGCCTCGCGCTCCCTTTGGGGGGTCTGCCAACTTCGCCTCCTACTTAGATGAGGAGGAGGAGGAGGAGGAGGAGGAGGAGGAGGAAGAGGAGGAGGAGGAGGAAGAGGAGGAGGAGGAGGAGGAGGAGGAGGAGGAGGAGGAGGAGGGAGTCGCCACGTTCGTGGGCTCCTGGGAGGTCCAGCGGATCGATGTCCTGCGCGCACCTAGCCGAGAGACCTCGCGCTCCCTTTGGGGGTCTGCCAGCTGGCAAGCGCCGCCACTTTCGCGTGTGCTCCTGGGAGGTCCAGCGGAGTTGCGCCTCACGCGCGCCTTGACGAGATCTCGCGCTCCTGTGGGGGGATGGCTGCCAACGGCGCAGGGGTGACCACTTTCGTGGGCTCCTGGAACGTCCAACGGAGTCATTTTTTACGCGCATATGAATACCTCGCGCTCCCCTGGGGGGATGGCTGCCAATGGCGCATCAGTGACCGCTTTCGTGGTCTCCTGGGAGGTCCAGCGAGGCTTCGCTTCACGCGCGTATCCAGCTGAGACCTCACGCTGGGAGCTGAAATCTGCGCAACTGTCGCCTCTCTCGTAGGCTTCTGGGAGGTCCAGCGCCTCCCATTTCCGTCGGCGTCGTGTCATGCAGGTCTCATGATCGTGCAAGACGTGGAAAGGATACCGCATCCCTCGTCGAATGTTCGTTCTGTTGCGGGGCAGGCGATTCGCGCTTCTTGATACTTGATCATCAGTGCCTCATTCGGCCTGAAGATCCCTTGTCTCCCGTCCCCCTGCTGCTGCGCGCTGTTTGTCACGGTCTCCTTTCTTGCTCAGTTGTCTCCTATCTCGCTCGCTTTTCTGCCTCTCTCCGCGCTGCTCACTGCCTTTCCTCGTTCCTCCCTGCCGCCTGCTGCCCTCTTCCTGCTTCTGCTGCTGGTGTGTACCCATATCGCCGGATCTGTAAAATCACAGCCTGTAAAGTTACGGTGGGGGCGTTCGTCAAGGCTTCAGACCTTGAAGGATTCCTTATCTCATGAGGGCGATGGTGATATCCATGGCAAGTTCGCGATTAGAGTTCCACTGGCTTCCAGCTTCTGGATTCCTTGTCCAATGCTTCCTTATCCAATGCCCCCACCGTGCCCAACCCTGATGTGTAGATGCGGATCTGGCCGGTTGGACCTTCCAATTCGCCGGGCCAGCGGGCCAGAGGTGTGGTGAGATCCCCAGTGACAGGCTAACAGTTTTCCCAGTTTGCGGGCGCGGGGCGGCGACTGGTCAGGAGGGACAAAAACACAGACACAATTAATCGTCGATTCCCAGGAAAATATACGAAAATATAGGAAGTGGGGGGGAAGACGAAAATCCAGAAAATATGGGAAAATATGGGGAATCCTGTTATTTGTATCCATTTACTTGTGTGTCCCTGGGCCCCTTTAACTGGGGGTCCCCGGGCGAAAAGTACCCTAGGCGCAGCCCGTGCGCAGCTCTTGCGCGGCCCGGACCACCCCTGGGTCATGCTATGTGCTCTTCTGGGCGGCGCCCTTGGCGCACCCAAGGGCGCCGCAGAAGCCTTTATCGAAGCCTGCAGGAGAGCTCAAGGGGGTCCGAGACCGTCGAAGAGCCCTCCAGGACGTCCAAGATGAGTCCTTCACTCCAAGGAGCTTCTAAAACGCCCCAGCGGCGCTTCAAGAGGATCCCCAACAAGGCCTAGAGAGCCCACAACTGTTTGTCTTCCGTTGGTGCTTGAAGGATTGGGGCGTTGCCGCCTCTTCGGGCTTCCGACCGCCCAAGACGGCACAAGGAGGCCCCGAAGACTGCCCGAGGCGCCCGAGAGCGTCCCAGGACGGCCCCAGGCCGGCCCAAGAGGGCCCCAAGCTGGCCCAAAGAGCCCCCAAAGAGGGCTTCGGAGGCCCCCAAGAGAGAGCCCCCAAGAGAGGTATAATCCGAGCAGGCATGTCGAGCCCTCTCCCAAAAGATAACTAACTACCCCCGAGACCGCCAGCAGGCCCCCAGGACGCCCCCCAGAGGCCCCAAAATGCTCCCCCAAGATACCCCCAAGAAGCACCAGAGGGTCCCATGCCGCCAAAAGGCCCCCAACAGCCTTCCAAGAGACCCGGAGACGCGTCTCTGAGAGGCGTCTTGTCCACAACCCGCTTTGGCCCCAAGGGCACCCCAAGAAGACATCAAGAGGTCTCCTCCTCCTCCTCCTCCTCCTCCTCCTCCTCCTCCTCCTCCTCCATTCATTCCTCTTCCTTGGAAATAACTCCTCCCTGTCGCACCCCGGGGCTGGCCGAAAGGGCGGGCTGGGCGTTTCGACTGGGACGTCCTTACTGTTTATGGTCGTGTAGCTTGAATTCCGCATGCGTTTCGCCGATGGGAGGCGGCCCGTTTTCAAAGTGTGATTCTCGCACTGGTGCCGCGCGCATTCGTTTTAACAGCTTGCGAGAGCTTGTCGGATGGAGGGCAATGACTTTTCAAAACGTGGTTCTCGCCTTAGCGCCGCGCACATTCGTATTATAAATTCGCAAGAGCTTCACGGATGGAGGGCGGCCCGTGTTCAAAAAGTGGTTCTCGCCTCAGCGCCGCGCACATTTTTTAAAACGTTTTGCTGAAGCTTCACGGATGGAGGGTGGTCCCTTTTCAACATGTGGATCTCGCATCAGCGCCGCGCACATTCGTTATCATTCGTTTAAGGAGTGTGCAACATAATATCAGGGCGCAGCAGTCACGTCGATTCGCGGGGTTGAAGTCTAACGAA